AGCGCAGTGGGAAGCTCGCTTACAGATGTCCCACCTGCTTCAGCTGTGAATGGCTTGAAGAATGGATACAGCTATCCTCGTCAGCCGCAGGAGGTATACTTCGAGGCCATCGAACGCCTGCAAACACAAACGGCCAACAACACCAGTGCTTTAGCTGCTCAGGCTCGCGGCCAAAGTGACTATGCAGAGATGATCTGGCAGATGGAAAACAGCCTTCGTCGGGAGTTTCAAACCCACCTACACAGACAAGATCAAGATCTGAGGCGAATGCATGATTCGGTGGAGCAGTTACGCCAGGAACTACAAGAGTGTCATCGGTTTATTGCGGGTCTTACCCATGACGTGCGTACGCTTGGGGACGCAAACCCGCAAGGTGCACCACAGCATGGCTATCAAGATGCCGCCCTCGAGACCATGGCTCGAAACATTGCAGACATTTCACACAGGACGAGTGAATTTGAAAATCTAAGAAACCATGTAGCAATCATGAACGGCAAGATACTTCGACTCGAATCCCAGCCTGCCCCGGCACATAGCCAGCATTCGCACCCAACACAAATTGCACAACAACCCGCACACCCCACCCACGTCGCTCACGCAGCTCCACCACAATCCGCCCAACTCCCTCCATTCCAAACACCTGCTCGGCCAGCCTCAGGTCCACAACAGGTTCCAAGCCAGGAAACACCTGTCGCAGTAGGACCACCAGAAAGCGCCCAGCGACATGAACCTGCTCCAAGTCAAAATGGATGGGCTACGGTGAATGCTGGTATCAAACGAGTGTTCCCAAGTGATAGTCCGCTTCAGGGTGCAAGTTCCGCACCTGGATCGCCAAAGCGTCCACGCTTGGTTACGGAAGAGCCCCAAAATGCCCAAGGGACACCTCAGATACCAGCCGGGCCATCCCATATACTGCCTTCACAACCGCAGTCTGTCGTTGAGTCGCAACCGCAATCTCTACCGAATCCGCAATCTGTGCCGCCACTAGCATCACAGGCAGATCTACCATCGAAACAATATTACGCCTCCTACAGCACGCAGGGCAGTCCGTCAGACGAGATCTGGCGATCAGAATCTCAGCGTATGGCTGAGTCACGTCCTGCTCGCGGTAGAGGTTCACGAGGTGGCCGGGGACCAGGCAGTCGTGGCGGCCGTGTGCGTAAGAGCATGCAGGCACATGAATATCACTTTGCGACACCAGATCCGGAACGCAACGGTTGGCAAGGTGTACCTGACTCGCAGGGACGCTCGCACAGCTTCGAAGACCACGCTGTCCATTCGGCTAGAAGCATCTCGCGGCGCGGTGGTGGTGGTGGAATGCCAGGCGGTTACTCACCGATGGATCGATCGACCGAATGGACACCGCAAGCAGGGCCGCGCAGTACCAGCTTTGAGTCACCGAGTGACGTTAAGAAGTCTAGGTCAAAGCCAGTACGCAACGCTGACGGAATTTTGATCCGCAAGGACGGTCGACCTGATATGCGTTCTCAGTCTTCAGCTGCAAACCTCAGGAAGGTACATGCACGTAAGGAGGAGCAACAAAGAGAGGAAGATTCAAGATCTACACCAACTGGCTTCCAATACTCGATGTCTGCAGGTCCAGGAACACCGAGTCCGAGTTCTCAGAGCAACTCAGAGCAGAACGTCACAGACAGTGTACGTAAGAAGCACAACGACATCTTGGGTAAAATCTTCCCGGACGGATTGGATAGTTCCCGGAAGCAGCACGACTATGCGCACCAAGTTTTCAACGAGGATCGCGATCATACCGCACATCCCCGATCACAAACATCGCAAAGAGGCTCCAAAACCTCCCTTCAAATAAAGAAAGAGCAAACAGGACACAATGAGAGTGCGAAGACCCGGGCTTCTGTAAATGGAGACGTTGATATGCAGGATGCAGAGCACAGCACAAATGGTCAATGGGCGAGTGATGTGCGGAGATTGGGTCACAATCAAAACCGAGTAATAGAAGGCGAAAAGGAAATCAGTACAGTGCAGATCCCAGAAACGCAGGCAACAGAGGCATCAATCGCCGTCGTTGCGGAGTCCGTGGAGGCTACATAGAACGGTCTTTCATTGCTCTTTTCTTGTCTTGATACCCTTGTTCAGTATGATAAGCGTTTTGTAGGTTATGTAGCAAATTTGTAGATATAACTAGTTTGAACTCTATAGAGAACAGGAAATTCCCGAACCACCCCGATTCGATACGCGCATTTCAATCCATCTAGGTCGTTCAAGTGCGACATATCGCCATCATCCAGGATGAACACCTACCACTACGGCATCTCCATCTCTCATTCCTGCAGATGCTTCGAATCCCCAAAGAACGGATAATTCCTATACCCATCAAAATCCACAACATGCAGCTCCTCCAACTTCACACCCCTAAACATCCGGACCTGCAACATGTCAGTAACCCATTGATTCACCACAACCCGAAAGCAAACTTACATTCACACCAATCAGATCCGGCATCTCCTCACCCTCCCTATATAGTCTCGGATCATGCCACACGCTACTCCCACACTCGCCACAAAACTTATGTAGCAACTGCTTCGCTCCAAAGCTATGCGACTTCAGCACTTCCTCGCCTTGCTGGATCACTACGTCTTGTCGGCGGGGGTAGAGCAGTAGATAGCCGTTCTTGAGGCAGATGGTGCAGTTGCAACTCCCCACTTTCTGGGCTGCGAGGGGAGGGGAAAGCGTCACGGTGTATTGAATGGCGCCGCAGTGGCAGCTTGCGGCGTGGGTGGAGGTGTTGGCTGGGTTGAAGGTGGGAAGGCTGGCGAGAAAGGCGGTTTGGATCTCCTTGGGGGAGGCCATTGCTGTGGGGGAAGTCTTGCCAGTAACTACCTCGTGTGTATGGGGTTGTGGATCTGGTTCTTATAGTGTTGTTGTGGAGGTCTCGTGGGGCCGTTCCGGCTGACGAGATGTATGCTGGTTGGTTTAAGTGGTTACATACTATTTTAGTAAGATGTTGAGTGCGGGCGTGTGAGATCAGCAATGCTAGAAGAAGTCGTGGAACGTTGTGTTATCATTTTATGTCGTTATAACGTTATCGTAAAGAGATGAGAGATGATGAAACAGGCAGAAAGAGTGGAGTTATAGAGAGTAGAGAACGTGAGAAAGACATTACGAACGGCAACCAGCTGCCAGCACACTGCACGTTGAATGTTCCGCTCAGCAGACGATACCCACGTATCCCTCATCCTGCACGCTGATCGCTTCTTCCAAGCTTGCCACTTTCTTGAACTTCTTTGGCTGCACAGTCTGACACTGATGCACCGTGGCACCTACAAACACCACCGAGTCGCCCTTGAGGATCTCGTAGAACATCATAGTACCAGCCGCCTTTCTGGACTCTGCAACAAGCAACTGACTTCCTGGAACATGACCACGGTTCTTCGTGACGATGAAATACCGGACTTGATGCTCAGTATCTTCTGGGACAACCTCAATGTCGAGAGCACGCGACAAGTAGACACAAGGGATATCGATATGTCCAGCATTGTAGATTGTGGAGAAGTTGCTGGGACGTTGACGAACACGCTCCACGCCAGGAACGTCATTGCCGTTTGAATCGACTCGAGATGTCTCTGTCAAATGTTCTTCCTCGATGTTGGCAGCGAACAACCAAGACCACTTCTTCACGTCCTTGTCACCGAAGTCGTACGTAGCAAGATAGATGTTTCCACGCCCAATAATGGGAAGATCTATGATGCTATCGTCTACGCCGATCCTCTCGAGAAGCTGTGTTGAAGACTTCACACAGCGGTCGTAATTCATACCCGGATACATTATTGGCATAGGCGGAGGCGGGCAGCAGGATTGGGGCACAGGAGGTGGCAATGGAGCTCGTCTACCACGGCGGGGAGGACGGTAGTCGGAATCATCAGAATCGTAACTAACCTCAGGCGCGAGTTTTGGCTTCGGCGTACAGCTACACTCAGCAGTATCTTTCTTGTCGCTGACAGGAGGTTTTGGGTTGATCGTGCACTCAACAACGGGTGCTGAGTCCACATCGGCGACATTAGAGGTGGTGTTATCCATTTCGATGGGATGTGACACTACAGGGTTGAGTACAGTCCACTCGTCTTCAGATTGAGAGCTCATGTATATCTGAGATGGCGAATAAACAATATGAGAGATGAAGCTGAATGAGAAGAATTAAGTCAAACTCAGGCAGACGCAACGACTTATACCCCTCAAGTTCACCGGTCAGCTTGCAGCCTTGGCCTATCTGATGCTGGACTTCTGTCCTGCGACCAATCGCACTTATCTTGGTGTAACTCACACCTAAGTGAAGCGAAGTAATGAAGGCAGATGGTTCGCACATAGAGCTGCAGATGTGGCGTTGCCGGCCTCCGTGTCATCTGCAACACTTAGGCTAGGTGTATGCACGTAGTGTCAGGCTGAGACTGTCAGTCCAATCGAATAGCTCGTAGTCGGCGAATAACCCTCTTAGTCAACCAAGCATAAGTGCACAACCGATTCTGCCATCAGGCTGAACTGCACAAACGCCTATTTGCTGCCTTGTTTAGACTGTGCAAAAGGCAGAGTCGTCAGTCGATGTCTGCGTCAAACGGCGCAGTTACTGGTGTTTCGGGTGATGTGGAGAATCTATCGTTTTGCAGTGTTGAAGCGGTCACCTTACAATCGACTTTAACAATAAGTTGCGATTAATGCATAACTGGTAAGATGCGCTCAAATGCCCAGATCTGTTTTGGATTTCACCACGATCATGTTAGCGATCTTGTTCATTGTCAGCTTACTGTGTACAAACTCTGTACTCGAGTATATGGTACTGTCCGAATCAGAATCTTAGACTGTCAAAATAGAGGACTGATAGCCTGCTGCTTTCCAACCAACCACAGCGCCAAACGCGATGACAGCAACAGCCACGGATCACCATCTGATCTCGACCAGAGTCACAAAAAGAAACAAATCAGCATGAACAAAGCTACGCTGCATGCCTGGAGAAGAGCAAAAATCTTGGACGCTGTGGGAATTGAACCCACGACCTTTCACAAGTGCTATCAGATGATGCGAAGCGAAAATCATACCCCTAGACTGTGATGATGTTAGTGACTGTTGCAGAGCTCAGATATGGTGATGAAACTTACCCAAGCGCCCGATATGAGAAATTTGATGAAAAAATGGTGCATTGATAATTATATAATCTTATTTTTTGGACACGGGACGGCTCACTGTGCTGAAGTCTGAGCAGCGGTCCCGTCCAACCTCGACTCAACCTCATGATCTGCAGCTTGAAAACGTATCGACCCATCATAACTTTAGTGCTTATCTACAAAAACATCGACAAACATCTCAAGAACTGGCAGCAAAGGACAAAGGGACGCCAAGGATCTGTTCTAGTGCGAAGATTCTGCAAGAGCTCTAGTTCCATCGATTGCAGCTACGTAATCACCCCCAGAGCCTCAAGAGAAAGGCACTCGCCAACGACTGAACCGTAAAACGGCGTCCAGGGGCTGGCAGAATCGCATGATGTCCGCCTTAAAGACCCGCTCAACTCCTCGAGCCATGACATGACCTTTAATTCGATTCAGCTCTGTCCAACAGCCTACTAGCGGCTTTGCACGCAACGAGCGTTGACTAAGGTAAAGCCGGGTTAGCTGGGTGGTCATATTGTATACCACAACACTTCTGCATAAGTAGGTTCCTCTATCATCGTGAATAGGATCTAGCTGTCGAAATCTCAACTCGCATCACTACCCCCACCCACCACTAATCTCTCAAACAACATGCCCAGCACCACGGGCGCCACGATCCACCACTTCAGGCAACGAAGTGTAGTATTTTGGTGAATCGATGGCTACAAGCTCAGGCTGATCACTGCTACCCAATACCCTGGGATGTCTGCGTCGAATCCAGTATAGGGCGACTACGACAACACCCAGAATTGCTAGACCACCGACTACGCCTCCTGCTATAGCTCCAGTGTGCGCTACTCTACCGCCAGGTGAGGGCATGCTTGTAGGCTCGAAGACGGGCGCTGTGGTAGCTGAGACGAGATCTGTTGTCCGCAACCAAGAGGACGAGACGAGGACTGCGGCGGTGGTCAGAAAGCCTTGCAATAGCCGGGTGGGTTCGGGGACAAGTGCTCACTGATCTTTGTAGATTCTGCGGTGGGGCGGGTTAGAACGGTAGCTCTAACCTCAGAGTTGGATGCTACAGTCCTTGGAGTTGCGTAGTACGAGTACACAGAGTCGGATGCTACAGTTTGAACCATGGGTGGTGTTGCAGCAGCACCGTAGTACGAAGACGATGACCCGTACATAATAACATCTATGAAATCAGATAGAAGAGACATCGCTGTATTCGTGTCGATGACTGCCGGTGCCTTGTCCGTGGGATACTTTTCTTCTAATTCGGCTACACCTTCAACTCAATCGCGAAACGAGCAAACAAAGCTATTAAACCCAGAGTTTTGGAACAAGATAGCAAAAGGTATGTGAAAGATGTACAAAACAACATTTGATCAGGCTGGGACATGGAGCTCAAGATAACATGAATACACGACCAGGCTGAAAGCCCGCAGTGTTCGGTTACGTATCTCAGTATGCACCTCGACATGTATTTAGAACACCACATACCTGCAGTGACTCTCAGCCTGTTGCAACATAGCTCGGATTGGTCGAGCCTTATGTATAGAGATGAGCAAGCTCTCAGCCTTTTGTCGTTTATATATAGCTATGCAGGTCTGACATGCATTGACCCAGTCGGTATGTATGTTGCGGTTGTTATGTATGGAAGAAGTGAGGAGTTGGAAGGGGTGTTTGTACGTTGGAGTGAACCATTTCCATTGATTATTGCTTGACCTGTGTTATAGAGAGCTGGTGACGCTGTTTAGCAGTGTCGTCACTAGGGTATTGAGGCTTAGAGGTTCATGCAAAGTGTCATTTCGTCAACAGCATGGTAATGTATAGTTCTTCATCTAGAAAGGGTTTACGCAAAGGAAACCCGGGGTATATATAATCGCAAAACAACTTCATGTAAGCATCCACACTCATCATCATCCCCAGACGGCTTCATCCTACAACCTCGCATGGTGTGCAGCCGCCTTTCGTCTATGCTCCTTCATGAATCTCGCGAGCTTAGCCTTACTCACACCCGGCGCAGCTGTAGCCTCTGCACCGGGAGCGACAGTGACGTAAACTGTCTTGTGCACGGTGCTCGTGGCGGTTGGAGTTGCAGGAGCGGCGGTTTCAACGTCGGTAGGAACGAGAGGCGGCGACTCGTAGTCGTCGAGGCTGTTTGTTGGTTGGGCGGCATCCGCGGTTGACGAAGGTAGGTCTTCGACGGGCAGACTCATGTTGCCAGATGGCGCTGCAGTTGGTCCAGCAGGTGCGCCAGCGGTCTGGGTGGCGTTCGCGTATGGGCCGCGAGAAGGCCATTGGAATCCTGGCATACCGTCACCACCGACGGGATCTGCAGGCTTGGTTGGCGTTGCAGCTTTTGATGTTGGTACAGCAGAACCTGTACTGTTCTGCGTCATTGAAGGCTCAAGTATCTCTGAAGTCGGCACACTGTCAGATGATGTTGGCTCGGCGACAGCTGTGCTGGTTCTGGCAGGAGTCTTCTTTGAAGCAGAGATTGTAGGTACAATGTAGGATCCTTCAGAGTACGACATAATAGGCGCGTTAGTAGGGATCTCACTGGGAATGACGGCGTAGCCCGAGGAAGTCGCAGGTACTGTGGCATTGCCGGTGGAAATGGGTACAGGCTCCGAAATGACAGTGCTCTGAGCCGGAGCTCCCGAGGCAGATGGAGCGGGAGTGTCGTTGCCGTTGTCCTGGTAGACCTTGAGAGCGTTGACGGTCCAGTACGCATCCTTGAAGGCCTCCGGGTTCTTCTGCACGTACTCATCGCACGTAGCTGCCTTCTTCGCGCAGGATCCACTTTCCCAAACTCCGCCGGCCCAGTCACCACAGAATGCGGTGTTGAAGATGATCTGCTGCTCCTTGAAGGTGTTCTCGATATCGCAACCACCCGTGAACTTGGCAGCAGGCAGACCCCATCCTTCTGGGTTGGGGCTGTCGCCGAGGACATCTTCCGGAACCGAATCGCGAGGAAAGTAGTAGACACTGATAGCCTCCTTGGTCCATTGCGTAGCGTACACGCCGCCACCAATTGCGTTCAGACCTGCACCGTAGCTGTTTTTCGAAGGGCTCTCAATGGAACATCCAGCGTTCTTACTTTGGTTGGGAGCGTTGACGTCGCAGTCGGGTGTGGTAATCTCTCCGGCGAAAATACTGGTATCGGAGCCGATCTTGCAGTCGGGAGCGGTGTGGAGTGTCATGGCGTTATTTGTTTGTTCGTTCACACCTTCTAGGATATCGATTTCTCCACCGTTTGGCCAATTAGCTCCTACCATCCAGAATCTGCATACTTATGTTAGTGATGGACATTGTGAAGGATGCACCGTAACGTACGCAGGCCAAGTACCACAACCAGTTGGCATATGCGCCACGTCCATGACAACCAGTCCAGTGTTATACTTCTTCTTACTAACAAGTCGGAGGCTAGGTCTTCCCTCTGGAGTCTCGTTGGTAGAGTCCACACCCCACTGCACTGGCACTGTTGTAGATGCATTGATGAGGTTTGTTTGCCTCGCTGTGTCTTCGTCGACATACTTTACGAAACCTGATCGGTATTAGCAGAGTATCCTCCAAAACTAGACCAGGATGGCTTACCGTTTGTCGGATCTGCCGCTGTGAAAAAGTCAAATGCGCCATAGAAATCCGTCATGTAGTCGTCTTCCAGAGCATAGCCAGCTATGCTTAGGTCGAAAAAGGCCGCAGCCAGAAAAAGTGTAAAGGAACGCATCGTTGAGACGTTGATAGAAGAGAATGACTGCGTACTAGACGCTATAGAAGAGAAAAGACTAGAGACGGGAAAACACTACCAGCAGCGAGATACCCAGTAGGCAATCTGGGGAGACATGTCTATATACGCGGCGGGGCTTGCTTGTTGCAACGCGCCACTAACACAAAGGAACCCGTCAGGCATTGTTCGCGTAGCTAGACGAGCGGTTGTCCAAGGTGTCCACCCAGCATAGTTTGGTTTCAACGAGCGGACTAGAACCATGAGGACAGTGCCAGACAAGGCATACGAGTCGCAATCACCGCTAGTACATTCGAGGGATGCGGGAATAGCCATTGACGATCACAGACAAGGCCAGGCGGCGTTGGACAAGGCTCGACAATACCATCGGTAGTGTTTGATCAAAGACTGCACTGTTTCATGGACATTTGAACGGGTTGGACGCCGGGCATCGAGTGGTGGCGGGTGAAACAGGTACCAACGCGGATACAAAGCGCATCCTGGGCAATACGTGGCCATGGCTCCGCGGCACGCTTTCGACTGACCTGCCTTAGGCTGTTGGTGGATGCGATGGTTGCGGTTCGCTGCCGCGGACTTGACAGGTTGAAACATGAGACGGTTGGTGTTCCTGGTTCGTTGGCTGTGATGCGCCCGCCAGCCGCTTAGCGAGATGGTCGACCTGAAACTTGACCTCGAAGCCAATTATTTCCACCCAACGTATATTATCATCGCCATGGTCCACTCAAGTCTTGCGGTCAGAAGAAAATGTGCGCAACGGCAGCTTGCTGCATTTGACGTGTGCATTTACCGCTGTACCTGCATGCAGGCCTTACTTAGGCCGCATTGTGAGGCTCTCAAGGATCGCGTCTGGCGGACTCCACGATGGATCATCGCAAGTCCGCAAGGGATGTACTTCATCGGACGTCTTTGTTGGAACTTCCTGATCGTGGTAATTAAAGGAGTTTGTCCGCATCGATGTTCTTGCATCTGGAGTACGTCACCTGCGACGCGGAGTCGTTATCACCGGCTTCCGCAAGGGTGAAAGTGAAAGCAAGGGGGAGATGCATGAGCCAGCGGTAAGTCACAAACCCATCAAAGTCACACAAAGTTCGATTTCAAATAGACAAACAAAAGAAGTAGGTTGTTGGCTTGAAGTGTAATTATGTTTCGTTTATCTATCTGTCATAGTGCGTCAAATCATTTGGGTATTCGTTCCTCTACTGCAGCGAC